ATTGACTGATTGTCCTATACTTGGATTAACAATGTGAAAAGGGCACTATCTCTTAGGCAAATAACCAATAGTGCGTTAGAATACACCTACTTGGCTGCCAAATACTCAAAAAAAAGGAACTATGTCCTGCAATATATTACCTGGATGCCACCCAAGCCCAATTTCTATAAACTAAACACGGATGGGGCTAGGTCTTCATCGACCAACATAGCAGGTATGGGAGGGGTTATACGTGATAGCCAGGGTCGCTGGATCGTAGGGTTTATTGATAACTTGGAAAATGCCACTGCCATCCAAGCATAATTCCGTGCACTATACTTTGGACTGGAACTGGCTCTTAAACAAAATCTGGTGCCCCTAGAAGTGAACATTGATGTTGTACAGGTATTGCATCTGCTACATTCTGATAATATGCATTATGCTAACTTGATCACTGACTGCAGGTACCTCCTGGGCCTATTGCGTAATGCCATCGTGGAGCACACCTACAGGGAGGGTAACGAGGTGGCTGATGGTTTAGCTAAAGCTGGATGCACTATTTCAACAACAGCTACACCATTATTTTTTGAGGAACCACCGGATTTTGTTGAAACCTTTTTGCATAACGACCAAACTGGAGTCCCGCGTATAAGGAAGAAACACTGCTTATTGCAACATATGACTGATGCAGACCAAGCTTTTGCCAATCAAAACATACACACTATATGCATGGATGCTTCCACTAGCCCTTTTGTACTAGATACTCACAATAGGGCACATGTTGTTTCTACTACTAGTTCCTGCGTTACAAACAACTCTGAAATGGATGCCTTTGCATCTACCTCCTTGTAGCTACGTTAATTATGTTTAATGCAAGTTTATCTTTTTCACCAAAAAAAAAAAAAAGAGGTATCTTCTTTACCATGTGCAGAAATTTAAGGATATACATGCTCCCCGTTGGAGTCTAGCCAACTAATTTGTGGTTAAATCTGGGAATGATCCTCCCAAGAGAAGGAAATATATATATATATATATATATATATATATATATATATATATATATATATATATATATATATATATGCATGCACGTGTTGTCGAATCATATAGTATGTTATTTGTAAAATAATATCAATATTATTTTTTAACCGTATATGTACAAATTTTTATTTTCCTTTAACTGTGCCTTTCTTCGCTAAAATTAGCGCTTCATTTGTGCATTGCGCTATCTATCAACAAAATCTACAAGTTAATAGTAGTAGCAAAAGAGTAAATAATCAACTGAAATAAATTCTCAATATATCAACAAGAAGAGAAAATAGAGCACCAATTGTAATTAGTACTTCATTAGTATACAGTAGCAGAGAATGCAAATACACACAAAATAGACACCCAATAATCCTTCACATATAGCAAAATTATGCAGTCGGCAAAAATTTCTTAAATCAGTGTCCTATATATAGCAATCTTCCCTAACTCTATTTGCGCTAGACATATTTTGCATCGAATAAGTGAATTCCGCCTTCGATGCGGCCCTTATCAAGGTTTTGATTGATTTCATTCTTCTACTATGAATATTAGTTAGGAGAAATAGTATCTAATTGATACCGGAGATATCTGAGTCAATTACTCAAATGGTTATTCAACTATCTCAAATTATCTCCTAAAGTCACTTTTCTTTCGTTTGTAACAACAAAGTCACTGAACTATGCCTATTGCACTGAGAAGGTCACTCAACTAGATTTTTCAAGTTTTGGATTGCCGAATACCTATTTTACCCTCTAAATTATAAATATTTATCTTCTTTTTTTTTTTTGAACATTTTAGTATTAACATCAAAAATTTAAAAAGTTATTTACGCAATTCAGAGTGAAAGAAATAAAGGTTGTAAAATATATATTCATGCACATAATATAAAAATAATTATTTAAATAAAGGTATTTTTATAATATACATTATATATTCTTAAAAATTATGCTCAATTATATTATTATGTTTCTACCAACTTTCCGACAACACAAAGTTATGTCACCAGAAAGTAGGGGGACTATCTGTATAGGGTAAAATATGCTATATTAAGTCGTGCATGGAATAAATATATATATATATATATATATATATATATATATATATATATATATATATATATATAATTGAGCATAATTTTCAATAACATATAATGTATATTATAAAAAACCTTTATTTAAATAATTATTTTTATATTACGTGCATGGAATATATATTTTACAACCTTTATTTTCTTTCATTCTGAATTGTGTAAATAAATTTTTGATCTTTTGTTGTTAAGACTAAAATTATTTTTACGAATAAATTATTCTAATTAATTTTTTAATATGCTCATTATTTTGTTATTCCGGCATTATATATGCTTAAATACTTTTTATTTTTTTAATTTATAAATATATGTATTTATTCTATAGGTTAGTCCAAAACTATTTTCCACCTCAAGCAAATCAAACTTTGTCTCAGAAACGTTTTTCTTTTTTCCAACTTTTAAGAATCAAAGAGAACTATTTTCGATTCTAACATGGGCACTGCAAGATCTGAAGAAGATAGTTAATAAAGAAAATTATATACGAAGGTTTACTGTGACATGATAAGGACAAAAATAGAAAGCGAAGTGGTTCAAATGCAGTGTTAACATTCAACAATAAATTCTCAAGCCTATTTGTAAAAGACATAAAAAGAAGAAAACCCAAAATATTGAATCAATTGACTATTAAGATACATGATATATGCTCTAAACACCCAAACATAACATCAGAAAAAACTTTCAATAGTCACATGTAATATGAAAATGAAACCACTAACAAAAACTTTAAGAGAACAAGAGAAAAACTGATCAATGGGTTCACTATGACAATATTGCTATATATTTATATTATCAGTATAGATAATAAATATGAATATAGACTAATGAATATATGAAAAAGGAGAAAACCTTGCATAACCAGAAAGAGAACAACATACCCATAAGAAACAATTACATCGTTGTAGTTGAAAAATATTTGTAGAAAGTGTTTGTTTTTTGGTCGAGAGAACGATAGAACCAAGGTGAAAAAGGTATTTATGAAGCGTTGCCCTTTTGGTTAGAAGCTTTGGCTTTTACGTTTTTTTATTAAGTAGAAATTATCCCATTTGGTAATAGGCATGTGCCTATGATTACTTTGGCCCCAAGTTTGGAAATGAATGGAGGAGAATTGAAGCTCCTCCTGTAGCATTCTTGGAGGCTACGTATTATCTCCTATAAAAGGAGAGTTCTTTCACTTCTTTTATATACACCAACAAAGAGAGAAAGAAAGAATGATGCATCACAGACAGGGTATAAGAAAATAGTCTGTGAAGAAAACAGAGAGTGTGAGCGATATTGTAGTGAGGTAAAAATATCAAAAGAGGGTTATCTCTTTGAGTGTTGTAGTGGTCTTTGGAGTATTTTACTCGGGCCTACAAAGTGTAAAATTCTTTGTTATAGTGATATCAGTTGCTCCTCTTGGGGTCGTGGTTTTTTCCCCTTATTCAGAAGGGTTTTTCACGCAAAAATCTTGGTGTCGTTGTCACTCTTTTATTCTTGTTGAATCAGTGCTACATTATTATTCCGCTTTTATTACTGTGAATATTATTACTGTGGGGGATTTATTCCCAACAACTGATATCAGAGCACAGGTTCTGCTCGTTCACAGAAATACTATTCACTGTGGGTTAACTATACTCGGCAAAAAAATAAAAATGTCCGGAGTAAAGTACTAGGTAGCAAAATTCAACGGAGATAACGGTTTCTCAACATGGCAAAGAAGGATGAGGGATCTGCTCATCCAACAAGGATTACACAAGGTACTAGATGCTGATGCCAAAAAGCCTGATACCATGAAAGCTGAGGATTGGACTGACTTGGATGAAAGGGCTGCTAGTGCAATCAGGTTGCACTTATCAGATCATATGGTAAATAACATCATTGATGAAGACACTGCACGTGGCATTTGGACAAGGTTAGAAAGCCTATACATGTCCAAAACGCTGACAAACAAATGTACCTGAAGAAGCAGTTATACGCCTTACACATGGGTGAATGTACGAATTTTTTATCAATTGTGTTTAACGGACTAATCACACAGCTCGCCAACCTCGGAGTGAAAATCGAGGAAGAAGATAAAGCGATCTTGCTATTGAACTCGTTGCCATCTTCTTAAGATAATTTGGCAATAACCATCCTGCACGGTAAGACTACCATTGAGTTGAAAGATGTCACATCGGCTCTTCTACTCAATGATAAGATGAGAAAGAAGCCTGAAAATCAAGGACAGGCTCTCACAGAAGGAAGAGGCAGGAATTATCAAAGGAGTTCGAGCAACTATGGTAGATCCGAAGGTCGTGGGAAGTCAAAGCACCGATCCAAATCAAGAGCCAGAAATTGCTACAATTGTGATCAACCAGGTCACTTCAAAAGAGATTGCCCAAATCCAAGGAAGGGCAAAGGTGAAACCAGTGGCCAGAAGAATGACGACAACACAACCGCCATGGTGCAAAATAATGATAATGATGTCCTCTTTATAAATGAGGAAGAGGAATGCATGCACCTGTCAGGTCCAGAGTCGGAATGGGTGGTTGACACAGCGGCATCTTACCATGCCACACCGGTAAGAGATCTTTTTTGTAGATATGTAGCAGGTGATTTTGGAACTGTGAGAATGGGTAACACAAGTTACTCAAAGATTGTGGGGATTGGTGATATTTGTATCAAGACAAATGTAGGATGCACATTGGTTCTAAAGGACGTGCGACATGTACCTGATTTGCGGACGAACTTGATCTCGGGAATTGCTTTAGACCGAGATGGATACAAGAACTATTTTGCAAATCAAAAGTGGAGACTCACCAAGGAATCATTGGTGATTGCAAAGGGAGTTGCTCGTGGAACGTTGTACAGGACAAATGCAGAAATATGCCAAGGTGAATTGAATGCGGCACAAGATGAGATTTCTGCAGATTTGTGGNCGCAATGTGGCAAGTAGAGGTTTAT